TATCATTTTCTTTTCGACACCGAAGCGAGGACGCAGTGGGAGCACGCTAGGATCCGTTCGTACTAGTGCGCATCCGGTGGAGTACAATCCCTACAGAGCCAATCGGATCGTTGTGGCGGTTTGATCTCACAGAAGACTGGTTGCTGATTGACAGACTACTGTAAATCGAATGACTGCTTGCACTCTCTGTTCTGGCCTAGGGATACGATGCAGTTTATAGAGTTCGCTAGTTTACCTGACTCAGTTGTGTAAAAGTTTAGCAAAATTCACCACCTTATCCTACTCCTAAGAGATGGCTGCGAAGTTTCAAATTACATGCTGAATTCTTTCGTTTGAAATCGCCAGTGCTTGATCGAAATGCGTGCTACGTCATTCTATCCGCATGGCAGGTAATATCTATCGGTATCGCTTTTTATATCCAGGACAGCGCTGAAGCTTTCACTGTCTGCTAGGACAGCAACCATGGCTCCAGCTAATCTGTTTGCGGCTGATAAATTGCAGTTGATCCTGTCAAACTAATGGGCATCGGGAAGTAACAATAGGTGTCAGAAATCTAGATTCTTCTTTGCAGATGTATATCTCTAACCTATAGGTGATTTTCTGATCTTGTCAGTACTGTTTCACCTAATTCTAGAAATCGTATCAAATATCCATAAAATATCTAACAGGTGGACGATTAGATATTTGTTTAGCGCTTATCCGAGTACTTCAATTAAATATTTCTATGGTTTAACGTCACACATTTGGCATAGTTGATGCTTCGCCTACCCTGTCCTATCCGCAACTTCAAGCCTGGACCTCATTTCGAAGGCCTCCGGGTCACTGAACGTGAAAGCATACAGTTGTATACGAGACAGATTAAGCCAGAAAAATCGGTTTATTCGATCCGGATATGTAACTAACTAAATTGCCACCGTCAGTTTTGTGATCGAGATGAACAACCGAAAACAACTTAACTGCACTTGTGTACAAGTGCTACCATCTGGTTTTTAGAGAAAGGCGCCAATGTACTCAGGTATCTAATCATCGCACCTTTGTTACGCTCTCGGCTAGGAGGCCGGTTTGTATTTCTTATGAAGGAACGATGTGGTTCAATCTATTAGAAGACAGCGTCTCGTGAATAAATAAGATTGGAACTTACCACACTTTCCTTTGCGGTGAATGCATGTATATCTGAGGGCTGTCTCCAATTTCCACCGGGCGACTTAGAAAGCATGTGGACTGTAGAACCTGCGGTGAACAGTATGGGACAGGTTGGGTAAACTTTCAGTTATTTTAGGGATGGCTGAGAGCGAATTATATTTTATAGCAGGGTGTGGGCGGTGTTAAACTTTGATTAGATTAGATTGCATGAGGTACCCTAACTGGATAGATGACGAGTGAAAAACTTTAGGCTTGAAGAGCGAACCTTTAATATGCGCTGTTAGTAGCGATATTACGTAACGGTAGGATGAAGGAGGAAGGAGCTGCACGTACTGTCCCCCAATGTATGCGGCTAGCTCAAGGCAACGTTGCTTCAGCTCGTCCTGTATGATAAAGCTCAGTTTACATAGGAATAGTAGGGGGATTGAATGGTATAGGTAACAATTCATCACATCTAGATTCACTTAGACAGTCGTCACACTGCCGGAAAGGCACTGTCCGCGCATTTCATCCTTTCGACAATCGTCAGCAGTGCGCATTCCATCGGACCGTGGTCGGGCTCGACGCGCAACTCGACTGTTGCCAGTCGGTGGCTGAAACCACTGAGCTTGGTAAGCTAGTCGTTTGGGGAGGGAGGTACCCTGTCATCAGTACGACAGTAACATGTAAGTCAGTGGATAGTGAGTGGCGCTATATCACATCTGGTAACTTATTCGCAATGGTCATTGCCGTCCCCCGTAGCTCAGTGCTCTCAACCACGGACTGGCAACAGTCAAGTTGCGGGTTCGATCCCTACCAGTGTATGATGGAATGCGCACTGCTGACGAATCCTGAAAGGATGAAACGATCAGACAGTGTTTTCCGGGCGTGTGACGGCTGTCTGAGTGAGTCTAGGTGTGACTAAGTTCTACCTATAGTTTAGTTTACCGAAAAATTCCAATGTCCAACCTTCGAAAATGGACCGCTTGCTCCATTGTTCGTGTTTTATCCGTTTATAATAAATGAAGTGTCAAACCTACTAGTTTTGCTGTCAGAGGAGAGTGTACTCTTTTGTTCGTTATATTAAATTAAATGTCCTTCCAAGATTGCATGTAACAGCGTTCAGAAACGAAGATGTAGAGTGCACTTGTTTCATAACAGTTTTGCAACAGTTCAGGGTTGCGGAGTATGCAAATGAGACAATATCTTTTAGAAGAAAGACTGGGGGTCCCAGCACTACCCATAATGCTTCCATACTACACCAAACATGGGTTAACTACTCTTGAGAAATGAAGTCGAATTCCTTGCGATCGAGGTACCTTGGCCACGCTTGAATCCATTTGGTGTTATCCGGGTCACGGCATCTATCTAGCAAACTCAACCAACCCAGAAATCCCTAATGTGTGCTTGAAAATCCTTCCCCGGCAAAATGGACTATTTGTAAACGGCAGTGCTGACCCCAGGTTCATAAGGGACGCAACAAGTTTGTCGCAACCCATCAGCGAAGTACAATTTATAAAGGGGGTAGCGGAGTAGTTAGACGATATAAGTTGAATTCAGTATACCTAAGTCTGGTCAGGCGGTTTACATACATTCTGGAAATCACTAAGCCGCCGGTCTCGACTGTTTCTGTAATGGTCGGTAGTGACAATTCCTACTAAGGAGCCACACTCTGATCATTGTTGTCCAACATAGCCCTGTGTTCTCTGACTTTCCAAAGTAAGGTTGTCATCCCAAAGAAAATAGCTGGGATGTGCTGATGACGATTTCAAAAGGATGAATGCCCTTATGCGTGCTGATATCTGTCTGCATTCGTCATCGAAGTCCAAATGCTTGTGCTAGAGCAGATGCGCTCTACAGTGGTTGCCTTCAAGTTGTACCATCGTTAGTATCCCTTTTCGAAGATTTGTGAGTATATAAAATGAACGCATAAAGCGGATGTAGCAGTGCGCTGTTTTCCACATTTCGGTACAATCTGTGCATGGTAATAGTATTTGATAGGTAAGCACATATTCACTTAAATAAACACCACCTTATTTAATTAAAACTCCTTTGGCATGAGTAAGGGCTATCAATAGGTACCTTGCTTTAGCGTCAATAAAACCATCAATTGGCTACTAGGCAGTATGGCTGTGGCAGATAGCTTTCGAAACCAGAAGCTTGCAGCAGTTGTTACAGTTGATGTTGTCTGAATAATGCATTGTTCTGGTGTTCGGAAGGCCTAAAATGCCACCCACAGTAGAGCATGCTGGGACAGCGCGTTAGGTATAATGCAACGAAATGTATCGTATTAATTCACTCACTCTCTGGAATAGACCGGGAGGCTGACCAATAAACTTCTGACGGTACTTCCTCGGCATCGATAAGCAAAAGGGGACAACTCGCCTTCGGTCGTGCTGCTGGTTACAACTAAACATAGCCTTGGGCAACCAGGTTAGCAAGATGTATGGCAAAATTAATTCATTATGTTGCAGAGCAGGAATTCGTAATCCAGCCTTGTCCGATTAATGTAAGGTGTATAAATGGGACGTTTAGCGATTTCGAAATGTGGGGCATCGGTCAGTGTTGTAACCCGTGCATGCGCAGATAGAGTGAAGCCTCATCTAAACTACATCTGATTGGATCCTCTATGACCCATTCGACATGACGGGAACACTTGTAAGTGCTCCCACTTACCATCCTCCTTCACGGCGAGGAGATGACATCGAACTGCCTTGGAACGTGGTCGCATGAAAGGGTGTAGAAGATAAACAGCCCGGTTCTTAGTATGGCAATTCAATGGTATCCAACATCTACCCATTTGGGTTACCGGAACGATCAACCCAGTATATGATGTGTTTGCTGAGGATGGTAACATAACCTAATCGGTAATCTGAGATTTAACACATATATTCAATTAACTTGTACTAATAACCTTTTAATACCCGTAGGGTGTTATGCGAAACTTCGAAGGCAGTCTATCTCATTCCAACGTAACTACTAAAGGACTATCCTACGTTTTGCTACCCAAGTTGAAAGTAAAGAATGAGAAGCCTGCATCACGTAAAGCAACGTTTGGTTTATTGCATTATGAAAGGTATTTAATTAACAAATTCAGATCATAAGATTAAGTGTAAAAGCGATACCATACTTACCATCAGCTGAAATCTCCTCCACAGTGTTTGTAAGGTAAAAATACTTGCCATTTATCCCGTCGGACTGTCGCAATCTGAGGATAAAACAAGGTTGTGCATTACGCAAGCTGTTATTACTGTCAACCACTCAACATCAATCATTTAACTCTGTTAGAGCTCCCGTATGATCTCGTCGCCTCTGCTGGTCTTCGCTCAAGTTTCAATCATGCATTAAAAAGCAGGCACTTAATAAAATCTTATTAGTTTAACTTATTTTAATGAGGTGAAACTTACAGCTGCATGTATTCGCTATACTGATCCAACTAATTATCGAAGTGGTTGGTGGATGCTCGTTCATCTTCACATAATTGTAGCCAATAAACCAGGCTACATACTACGTCGGTCCGCTTGACAGGCACTTATCGGAAACAAGTAGGCCAGAATGAGTCTGAACTACTGCGCGCATTGGTAGTGGACTTGTGACACTCCGGGACAACAATACCAGCAACAGAGGGGTGTTTACAGGCGTAGCTGAAGCATTAGGTTCAGTATAACTCTTCATAAGTCGCATAGTTCACATAGACGACACACTGTAGGTTTCAACCGTAAACATTGATCGATGGAAGTGGAATATAAAATTGTGCTTGAAGGTGTACGGAGTGTGCAGTCATCAGGTATGCATTCGATCAATTCAGTACGGTGGTGACTGGCGAGCGAGTGTCGAGTGAGCAGTTGTGAGAACACGTCTGGTAATAGTGTCATTGTCCGATCGATAATTCACCACGACCCCACTCATTTAGACTTTTGCCTACCGCTCCTTTTTCATCTCGAATATAATGGGTGCAGGTCATGAGGGTCTACGGTTTTTGAAACGCCTCACCGAAATAAACTTAGAAAGAGCCTACTAGACAAGATATAAACTCGGGCAGTGCGGAATTTAGACCCAGTGAACAGTCAGTCTGGCAGCTATTCCAAAGATGAAAAGACGCAAGAAGTAAAGAGAAACATCTGAAACACATTATCTTGCCACCGCACTTGTAGAAGTCCGGCTGGCTGTAAACTGTACATTATATTATCTTGTGGTTAGTGACTGCAGAAACCCCATGGAACTTGTGGCGCTTCCAAAAGCAAGGTTCGGAAAGTAGTCGCTGTAAGCACACTTTAAAACGCAGAATGTAATGGGTGAAATAAGTTGCAGCTGAACTACGTCGCATCATTATGAATCAATTGCTAGGTTTCATCTTCAACCACTACTACGAAAAAGCTGTGGTTCAAAAACTAGGCCAGTGGGACAGTGTGCTTAGTAACACCAGACAGTACTATTTCAAACAAACCGTTTACGTATGAAGGAGACAAATGGCTTATTCTGTACTGCTTACCTAATGCTCAAGTTTCGGGAAGAACAGAAGTCAATCCACAAAAGACGGCCAACATTTACCCAAGACGTGGTTATAGTTTTGCTATTCAGCACGATTACCGCGAAAACGTAGTGTTAACGAACATATGTTTTCAATAATTCTTTTTCAGGATATTACAATTATCTACAAGTCAAAACAATAAGACAGACTACTCGGATCTTTAAAAAGGGGGGGTGCTGGCAGTGTTTAGAAAAAGTCAACCATCGCTATTAATTACGTCAATGTCTGGACTCGCAAGCGAGCCAACCGAGTTCAGGTCACAATTCGATCGGTCCAAGGCGGTCCCAGGGCCTAAATAAATCGTTTCTGCATGCACGGATTCGGTTCGTGCGGCCGAATTGCCGTTGCATCAGCGATTTCTAGCATCCTTTTGCGCGTAAACCTCGATCGATTATCAGGGGCTATAAATATAATTTTAATGTATTCGTTTCAGAAGCTTACAACCTACAAACTACCACTCCATTCGGAAAAGCACAAGACGCACGTTTCGCCCTATTCTGACTCGTCAGTGGTGGGTAATATTCGGTCCCCTTCTGGAGCCAATGGCCGTTGGAGGCTGACGCCAAACTAAGCAGCAGCTTAAGCCATTGAGCCATGCGGGACAGTGGTTGAGCTAAATACTTTGTAAAGTAACTGGGATATGGCATGGCCTATATTCCACTGCCAAACAAGTTCCTACCAAATGCTATGGACGTAGCATCTTCTGAATGGAAGTCATTACCGCGAGGACTAGCCACTGTCGGTCGCACTGGCCTCAGCGTAACATTTAGCTTATGCGTTTTGGGTGGGCTATAGAGTCAAGGAAGAACTTTACCCAGGGAGCGCGCATACTCATAAATCGCTATAGTAAGATAACCCTTACTTTTCAGCTTCTTTAAGCACTTGCGGATACGCATCTCGGATTGATTTGTCAAGACATTCTTGTCCACTGTCTTCGAAAAATTTGTCGAATGCTTCAGTATATCATTCGTCTTATTAAAGTAGACCAATTTGTTCAGAATGACAATATCAGAGCATTTATCTTCTTTTGTAAGCGAGATATCACTACTAGAAAGACGATTCAAAGCTTGAGTGAGCTCATGTTTAATGGCAGTATTGTGTGTTAACCAAGCACGAGGATATTGATAACAGGTATGCACTAGTGACGGCTTAAACTCTTCTATGTATAAATTGGAGCAAAGAACTAGTTGTGAGGATTACGAAAACATATTTTCTAATTGAGCTTCAATTACTACTCTATTATCTTTTCTGTCAAGAAGACAGAACTTGGGTCACAAAGAGAAAACTTCAACAGTCGTATGATCAAGCAACTGGGGTGATATTCTGATAACATACACTTTACGTTCGGTTGGAAATAAAGCTCTGGGTTTTTCCTCTTTCAATAATTCGAAAGCGAACTTCGTAATTTCGTTTCTTATTTGATGATGATAGCCTTAATCGTTTCAGCAAGTGTCATCCTTTCCTCCATTGAGAGGGAGATCAATGCAGTGTTACACTAACTTGAGGAGTCTGAGATCAAGTTTACCGCAGAAAATGGAAAGAAATTGTGGAGGTACCTTATGTCTGTAGCACAGACAACTGAAATTATCTTAGCCGAAAACTTGCCCATTGTACAAACCATTAAAGAAAAATATGCCCTTCTGTAGGATAGGCAACCAAGCACGTTCAGATCGAGTAAGTACGCAGAAACATTTCTTTTAACCTCTTAGTTTAAATCAGTAGGAGACCTATTATGACCTTGTTCTCACTGGGGAACTCGACTAAAAATCTGTCACATGAAAGACCAGATAAAATTTAATAACTGGATTCAGGAACTATGCACATATTAAAAGTAGCACCGAATATTTACTGTGTCCTGGGAACGTGTTAGCGCCCTCCTGGGGAAATACATTTAGTGAAATAACAGAGAAAGTTCGTGTTGCTCACATGATAATGAATTATTCTGTCATATTCTGTCGCCGAAAATCTGTTCCATGAGGGACCACATAAAATTTAATGACTGTATTCTGGAAATATGCACACATTGAAAGCAGCACCGAATAATTACAGTGTCCTGGGAACGTGTTAGCGACCACCTGGGGAAATACGTTCAGTGAAATTACCAAGAAAATTTGTGGTACTCATATTCTAATGAATTATTCCATCCAAAGACCACCAATTTCTTGGTGGAACGCGAACACAATCTAAGGAGCAATGTTCTCACAGACGGATCTTTTAGTAAAACACGTGTACGCACAGACAAAAGCAATCACTCAGCAGTACTAGAACCATGTAAGATTGCCAAGTCTGAGAACAGGTGGCTGGACTGTTATGAAAAGTGTACAGCCCTCCTACACAAGGTGTCTTATGAGAAAGTTTATGACGCTTGCTGTGTTATAAAAAGTGAGCCACTCTGCCTAAGAAAGCTGAAACTCAACTTGAACTTTATGCTGGATATTATCTGTTATCGCGCATTTATTTCATATTCCCTTGGATACAATATGTGAAATGGATGTAACAAGTTACTACTTGAGGAAACAAGAATTAACTAAGGAGTAACCTGTCTTTCTAATCCCTAGGTGATTAAAAAGTTTAGGACTGTACAGCGGAAGTTATCTCTGTGTAAGGGGCGACCTAATTCTGGTGTATCAGATCTTGAAAAACCTCGGTCACGAATGCTGGTAACTCTTGAAACAGCCAGAGCGCGAATTTGAGTGGTCACAAACCGAAACTGGCAACGTAATACAGCCGGCTGGAATACCGCTAGAACTACCTTTCCGTTCAAATTTGCCACCCCTGGAAAACTCTTTCTACTTTGTCATTGTTTCTCCCACGCTACCCGTTTTAAGAATACCGCTCAACGATGCAGTACATTACCTGCATTACTCGATTTGTTTTCGGTTCACTGAGAACAGGATACAGACAAATAGTGTGCTCGCCAACTACAAGAAATCGATGTAAACGCATTTATATGCGTGTGTAAACGAATACACATGTGCCTTAACGAAGATAGTTTGACTTACAGTGTATTATCATTTTATACTATGAATACCGCGGTGAGTCCACCGGTGAGATACTAAATTTGCTGGGAATTTTTCGACATCTTGTATTTTAAACATGGTCATCCTACGGGACCTGTTTACCCGTATAAGGCCAATATTTGATTGTACGCAGTTGTACGGAATAAGCTATCACTGATATTGGGAACTTAGGATTCAAAGGTGCCTTCTGAAGTCTATTAAACGAAAACTTTACTATCAACAAGTTAAGAGATATACTCAGCATAGACATGAGTATTGTCGAGTTTTATGGGAAAGGCCCCAATGTTATACAGTGAATAACAATATTCACGAATACGAAGAGCTATTAAAACGCTATTCCATCTACCTTCTTTCTCCACCGGCGCAACGAAGAACAATGAGCTTGTGATAACAGAAACGATTACGTATTTGAAGAACTTAGTGCTACCTTCACTTCTGTTTTGCTCATCTCTTCTCTCAATGCCTCACCGTGTGCCTGTGAGAACTACGTGCACGACTAAAACTAAGACAGCCGGATCTAATCCTTTATCTTGCCAGTCAGCATTGCTCCAACTTCCGGGCTTGTTTCTTCGAGTTTAACCATGCGGCATGTGACTATCTGAATGCACCTTCAATGTTATATCTTAAAGGCACAGGTTTAACCTCTTTCAACATTTTATTCCTCTCCTCAGTTTACCTGCATGTGGTAGTAAACTGCCTTACTAACTATGCGTTCTAGTGTCCTAGTAGAAATTAAAATGGAGACATTCTCCTCATTTTCATTCGTATTATATTGCTTGTTTGTACTTGTTTGTACAAACCGCAACTTGAGGTCGAAAACGGAAAATCAAGAGCAAATGGATTCGACAGACTCATCGGTTTCCATCTCGTTATTAGCATGCACTTTTCACAGGTAGACAAATTAGGTTTGCATTGCACTAGTTTCTGCTATCTGACTGCTATTAATCCTACACTGATGTTGCCACCTCGAATGGTGGCGACACCTTTGCGATCAAGTTGCCCAGTTCGGCGAACATCACACCAACTACAAAAATTAGCAAATACCAACATTTAAGTGCTTTAGTTAGTAAGTAAGGTTTCATCCATATTATGATGCCAATTTGTGTTCCCAATCCTATCAACATTGTCATTTGCATCCATTAAAGTGTGCCATGTGGCCTAAAATGATAAACGAACAGACACACTGGCGGGTGGAATGAATTTCTATTATTAAGCATCCAGACGGCAATAGAGTTAACAATGCATGAATGGACATGAAAACCGGAAACAGTGTTCTTGCGACACACCGAGTGGCGGTTTATCAAACTCCTGAATATAGGACTAATATTACTGCTACTACTACTACTACTAATAATAATAATAGGTATATTTATCTTAATGGGGGAAACGGTGTCTACAGCGGCACAGATCAATTTGTACAGAAGAATCCATGCTCTTGCATGGGTGACATGCATAGGTGGAATTTTGGGATATACGTCTGTAGCATTTCCGGATAGCTGATCGACATTTCTGAATTGTCGGCTGATTGCGACGAACAAAAATACTCACCAAATTCCTTCCACTCATAAGTAATACCAATTCGCGCTTACGGATTCCACAAAATGCTATGTCGATTCATAGCTGCCGTAACCGGGAAGTCCTGACACCGGAAGGCCAACCGCTGTCATCTGCATGGCAGGTGCCTGTATGGCAGTGGAGGATGGGTCAGGCTATATCGCATTTAGCCAACAATTCGTGATGGGCGGATACCGTCCTCCATGGCGCAGTTGCATAAGCTGCGGGCTAGTTGGCAAGAGCCACTAACAGTCATGGGTTCGATCCTCCGCAGAGGACCGAAGGATGCGCATCACTGATGAGCCCCAATAGGGAGAAACAGCCGTCTGGTGCTTTTCCGGATAGCTCGTTGACGTATCTGATTTGTCGGCTGATTGCGATGAACAAAAGAAACAAGATTACTACTGCATAGCCAGAATCGATTGATTCTGAAACGTGGTTAAGGTAATGCAGTTGACAGGTGGTGCACTATCGCTTAATGAGAAAACCATGCTGTAAAGTATTGATCAGGCCAACAGAATCAACAAAGTTCATCATCTCCATTCCGACCAGCTTTTCAAATAGCCGAGCTTTTATCGAAGTGTGGTGCATTGGTCGGTAGTTATCAATCTTTTGTTTGGGAGCTACTTTATGCCGAGGCATAATAAATGAAGTTTTCCATTTGTCTGGAAAGTGGAAAGATTGCAGCGATAGAGTGAACTTGCTCTTCAGGAGCAATGGTATATCAGGCCCTTCTGATTTATTCGGTGTTGGTAAAATGCCATCAGGTCCCAGCTTGGACGATGGCCTGATTGATTTGGTAACTTGATGGATAGCGTTGAGCGAGATATCAATTATGCATAAGAGGTTTTTACTGTAAACTTTGTGCAACCAGGCACCGGGACAAGTTCGAGGCTCATAATAGTGGCAAAATGTCACAGAATGCTTCACAGATTTCAGCTGGGTCATGGAGTAAGTGACCCTCACGATCAACAATTTGATGCTCAGTGGAGAGCGGTAAATGTTTCTAGGATGCAGTATTTTTACAAGCTCCCTAGGTTTACAGCTTGACCGTAAGGCCGTATGTTCTTCAGTTTTTCGTCATGTTAATTGCTCGTGTTTGACTCTAGTGGTAAATTCCTACATTTGTAAGACAAGTGAAAGTAACGGGTCCGTCTGTATCTTGTAGCTAACATTCTGGTCTTCTTGCTGCTTAAGTGCTCGACGGAATTTTTGGAGACATTATGGGTATGAATACATTGTGGATCAAGGAGGGCTATAGCATGATGGATTTGCTTATAGAACTGCTCCACAGAGGTGTGCACACTGGTAGAGAGGAAAAATACATCCCAGGCGGAGAAACGAGTGAACTGCTGAAGGCATTCCCAGTTTATCTTATGGGTTGCAACTAGCGGTGCAGATGCGATTTTAGTGATCATTTTAATTTGGAAACTGAGTGGGATCATCTTATGTTCGCTGCCAGGGAGGTTGTTTAAGATCTAGTCCTATGGATTGGGTATTTCCAATGTGAATACTTAGTCCAGTACATTGGCGGACCTGGTTGGACTGATAATCCATGGTGTCTAGCCTCCAGCTCTGACGAAAGAAAGAAAAAATGCGTGGAAGTTAGACTTTGGGTGTGATGACCAGCGTATTTTCGGTAGGTTGAAACCACCAGCAATAGTATTCTGGCTGCGTGGCTCGTCATGTGTGGATATCGAGACAGTTGGGGGCACGACAGGAACCGAGGCATCGTGTTTAGGTTGTGTTTGGTTTGACAATGGACAAGCTTTGTCATCTGGACAAATTGGAGGATTAGTGGGATCTAGATATTGACCTCCGCCGGATGTATCTGAGGTGGGAAGGAGTGCGAGTCCCATCCAATCGCCGCTAAAACTGGTTGTTGGTAAAATCCGCTTGATCGGTTGAACGGACAGTAAAATGAGCGGGTGGTAACGTATTTCTACTGGTCGATGTCCTTCCATTATCTGCGCAGTTCCAGTGATTTCCATGGAGTGTAAGATGATAATTAGGCGTAGACAAGACACAGTTGTTATTGGTCTTATTCAACATGGAAGGTTGTTTGTCTTGATGACTGTAGGAGGTTGGTTGACAGGAAATTTTTGGTGCCACCGAGTATTTGGTATCCATGCGTTTTTAAAGACCCAGGTCCCTGGATTGGAGAACTCGTTTTTAGGCGACAGTGGACTATGAATTACATCCGATTGTCTATCCTTGGGCGTGTTTTGTTGGTTTGGACCGGGTTGTGATATATTCAACGAGTTATCATTACTCCACCGGTCCAATCACTTAGAATTTCATTTAATCCTTGTGCATGAGAAGTTCGATATAATGGGTGTTGTTGTCAGGAATAGTAGAACCCGCTTTTTCCGTTCCTTGTGTGTTTCAGTGGAGCAAGGAAAGATGGCTTTGAAGCTGGTTGACAAATTTGCTAGATTATCTATGTCTAAACCGATACATCTAGTATCCACCTTGGATGCACTCATCCTTCAGACCTTTGGTTGAGATTTTTCGAAGAGCCTAGTTATCTTTTCCGGTATTCGCGACACAACGCCAAGTTTGCACATTTGTAGGGGTGTCCTATCTGGTTTACTCAAAATGCCGTTAAATTGGGTGCAATGGCCTAGGAAGGGTCCACAATGGAAGAATCGTTGCGCTACTATCTTGCCCAAAAATTTGAAAACGATTAAACAACAATGTTTCGGCGCCTTCTTTTTTAAACGTTGGCATTTGCATTTAACGCTAGACATGTAACAAGCTTTCGGTATCGTTAGTTTTAAGTTATCCAGACTCAGCCTGTCCGGAACATTAAAAACAATCAAATATTTTGTTCTACACATTTGTTCTTGCACTTCAGAGGCAACAGAGACAATTAACTGCCTTGCTTTGCCCATTAGAACAGGATCAGTCTTCTCCAATGGGTTATTGATGTAGTCAAGCGTAATCAGTTGATCTTTCAGGGGTTCAAAGAGTGCTATCGTTTTCTCATCTCATTAAGTTGTGATTCTAAGGAAAGCAATTTATCACTTAGTTCTGCGATGAGTATAGTTTTAGCCGAGGAACAGGTTCGCTTTCAATTTTGGGGCTTCGCATTTTATTCGCTTTGCTGATGGAATGGAAAGTACACTACGCTTAGCTTGCTGGATACAGCGAGACTTCAGTGGGGCCATTGCATTCTAAACTTCTTGAAGTTCAGACTCAAGCGCCAAGGTAATATATTGATGCAACAAAAACCAACCTTGTGTGATTTCTCGCAGTTGGAGTTTGATAGGTGGGTTAGATACCACGGCTACGTTTGCCGATAATAACCACAATTCAACGAGTGTGCAGACGTCCAAGCAATCCAAGATGGCGGACACAGACGGCAGTCGGGCTAAACAATGAGAACTCGGAAATTAGCCAGAGGACATCCACCAAATTTATACAGATTGAAGAATACACCAAAAGAAAAATTGTGGTGTACAATTCACACAGAAAATTCACGTATAACAGAGCAATTCGGAAGAAAAACTGGAATCCAGTACGGTAATCCAAAAATCTGCGGCGTCCGTTGGTACATCCAACACTTGTACTTTATTGGCTATGATTACGCGAAAATCAGTTCTCTCTATCGAAGATCATCGTATAGAAAGAAGCACATTATGCAAATACTAACCTGTGTCACTCCTTGGCGCATTCTCATCTTAAAATGAGCAGTAATATGTTGAATTATCACGATCGTTGTGTATCGATTCTTGACACAATTCATCACAGCTTCAGAAATTCGCCTGCTACTGTTATCATCATGGTTAGTTTTATTATTGCTAGCTGTTTGTATTGGTCAGTTATTTTATCAAGTGCACTTCAGCAGGGCTTTACTGTGGTTGTGCTGTCTCAGTAAACTGAGGAAAATGATGCTCATCAAAAACAATTACCCCGTGCGTTCGGAGCTTTTTATGCCTGGGTAAAGTGTCCACAAGAACAACGATGTTTAGTGGACAAGATCCAGAAACAACGGTTGATGCTTAGCGATAGTTCCAGGTCAGCACATAGAACATATCGGATATAAACCATAACTGCAGCTCGGTTCTGACGGGAAGGAATTCCTGTTCAGGTCACTAGACAGAGTGCGAAGGATAAATTTTGAAGGATAGAGAATAAGTGCTTTGATAAATTATTTTAAAATACCTATAAGTTGTAAGCAAAGCAAATACATTCCGGCGCTCATCGGGAGTAACATGCAGTAACCAGCGAGATGCCTTCCAACGAGGAAGTAAACAGCGTGTGACAGTAGGTGTTCTGAGTAAATAGGTCGAGATTTCTATGTCCACTTTGATTACAGCTGCCGCTTGGGAATTTGTGGTTATACAATAACATACTGACTGCATATGTAAGTTTGCGGAAGGCTTGACACGCACGGCCACAATAATCGAAATATGGTGTTGTATGCGCATGGCTTATGTTCTATGACTTTAGATGGTTGCAAATATTAACACGAATACGCACACCATTGTAATGTTCCCCCATGTTATCTAACTGAGTGATACCACTCTTCATAATGCCGTCCTAGTACAGCATTAAGTTCATCTATGTCTCATTATGAAACTACGGAGATCTCACCTGAGATTGAAACTGTGCATGCAGTTCGCAAGTTAGCGATCGACAGCCTTACAAATACGCCCTGGGAAGTATGATATTGCATAAAGGTGTCAGTCGGAAAAACGGATTGTGCCACAACCTTTCGCCGTAATGCATTGTCGCAACGTAACACCTCATGTTCGCCTCATGCACAGCGCTAGACCTAATCGGATTGCCCAATCATGTTTCAACCATAAAAACTGAATACAACTATTTCAAAGACTTGATGGATTAATCGACTGAAGCTTGCCTTTTGGTAACGTAATGTTGACGATTTCTTCAGAAACCGACTAAGTGAGAAAACACTGCTTATTATTATTACTACTATAACTTCTGGAGTTTTATGGTGTCACAACAGATCCAACAGAATAAGGTCTGTATACCTAAGAAACCCACATGTTAGACCCTATGGCTCGTTTTACCTCATCTTTTCGCTAGTCGCCGTATTGTTTCTTGAGCAGAGGTCCTCTAGGTGACTCCAACGCTTTTAGGCTGATTAGACGATCACGGTCGTTACGAAGCAATTACTAACGAGCCTTCTGCGAGCAGACCCATAAACTTCCGTGGAAAAAGAAAACATCACAGAGCAGGGGGATACCTCCAACATGTTGCTCGATGTGCGCCGGGGTTTGAACTCGCACCTTTTCCTTCTCAAGTTCAGAATTGGGTTACAAACTGTCTCGATAAGTGTTAAACAAAACGCCTAACTGTTTGCTCGTGGTAAAAGGCAGTCTTTCAGGGACAAACAGTTTATTTGGAAAAAACAACCTGCAAAAGTACACTTCATGACTCGGTTGCACAGTTATTGCATGTATACGGTCTAATCAGTACTATTACTAACGACTCGATCATACACATACTGTTCTTTCTGTGCGTTGGTTCAACAAAATCCAGCAGTCGTCATCTAATTAGCGCGACTTAGTGTTATTCATTTCTGAGCCTCTTCCGTTCGTATCTGATCAGCAGCCTTTTAGGTCTCGCATGTATGCTTGCCACATTCGATATTCTACTCCCATTACATCCAGCACACACCAGTTTCACTGCAGTGCAAGATGCCTTTTCTTAGTCGTTTGGTCTTTCACTAAATTTGGTCTTTTGCTTAAACGCATATCCTAAAATTTCTGCCAATCGATTTCGCACACTGATGCTTACGTTATACTTTCATTGCCCTGTCATTGTTCTGATTCAGCTGGGTGTGACACCCAACTGGACAATGACACTCCTTTTCTAATTCAAAAGATGCTATTCGGATCATTCCTTTAGGTCGCTGATGTAATCTTTGTCTTGCGACTACATACGCACGACTGATATCCACGTTGGTCTTTGTAGGATGGCGTAATCCTTATTTAGTAGTCCGGTGACACACACCACCGAAATCTATAGCACCACATAAAAGCTGCGGCGTGTGCACTTTGCAGATGGCCGCAACTTCTGACACATTTACTCAAACAGATTTTGCAACTGAATTACAGCCTCATCTGGCACCTAATGCTGCATGGGTTAAATTGGATAAACTTTTGTTAACCTCGCGTGTGGTTGAGCTTTCCCGGCAAAGGTCAAATTCCGGAGTTTAAATTTCCTCCATGCAACAGGTAGATATTAGGTCCTACGCGCCAGAAAACACTACACTCTACAACGCCTTCCCACCTTATTTGATATAATTACTATTGAACTATAGCAGGCCTCGAACCTGGGACCATTGGCTCGTTAGTCAAGACGTCTATCCCATAATCATCGAGTCAGGAGAAGCAATGCTTAACATAACCGTCATTGGAAGGTCATTTTGAAGTACTGGTTATATGACTGGATTGCGACGCGCAATCTGCATGTGGAGCGTGATTGTAATGAAAAAGGACCTTGATCAACTCGATCATTAAGACCGTAGGTCATGAAGCAGGTACGTATTAGGAGCGGCCTACACAAACATTTCAGAGTTATCGAGCGGGCAGCACCCTTGTCAATGTCCCAGTTATCAATGTGATCAGTAAGAACTTCAATGGCAATCGCCGTCCGCACTGATATTGTGCACCGCAATCTATTCGCACAAAAGTACAATCCAAGCTGCTATGGCGGCCACCTGTCTAAGGCGATCAACGGTCTATGGCGACTAGCCAATAGCATTCCCAACGATTTTCCTATGTTTTTTTCTCTGGTCTTAACATATGTATTGCGTCCACATGTCTACTACAAACGCGACTAGGTTTCCGTGATCTCCACGTTCTATAGAATCAGTAAAAGGCAACCAGCACTCAACTGTTTCAGCTAAGTTCAGGAGTGCACTTTACGCAACATCTGCCCTCACACAAGTGTACAGAAAGTGCAAGGTCATGGAGACAGTCTGCTATGCCAATGAACAACGTGAGAAACACGTGCAATAACGTACAAACATGGTTGTCAGGCATAATGTTGGAACACTAGAAGTCACCGGAAAAGAGACTGGACGTGTAATCGTGAGTAAACGAATGAGCAATTGCGGTACACCTGAAGCGAAATGAACACAATAAAAATTTCAACGCCAATCCAACCTTAATACGTGTTCCAACTGAAAGCCACATCGGTGTGTCAAGACCAGCCTACAGTATCAGGGCAAAAACTAAAGTAAGTCCGGCGGAAGAGAGCAGATAACCTCCTTCTGAAATGGGGAATCCGGCTCGTGGCCTACCGTAACTCACTTATGGTAAAAGCCGGTCAGTTAAAATTGTGGCCCCCACCATCCACTAGCCATCTCATGTTTAGGGGAATTGCGCAAACTGACCTACTGCATACGGTGCGCACATGCATACCCATACATTTCTAACATTAGTGGTGAGGACACATGGCATCCTCGGCAGACGGGTTCAGGCCTCAGCTGAAGGTAAATGCAAAGATGGTGAAGAACAGACCGACAGACCAAATTAGGATAACTTTTCGTCAAGCGAAATGGGTACAGACAGCCACAATACGCTTCCGGCGATCGTTAGCTCTCAGCTAACTTTGCACTGTGCTAAAGATCGTGGCCAACCTTAGGCACTGGAGCAATCGATGGTTATCAGTTCGTCTCCATAGACAAAGTGAAACTGCCATACCAAGTCGGCTTAGGTAAAAGGAAAGAAGTTATCGCAACTGCGACGTGAATGTACGCTTGTGATGGCATCTAGGTAAACCGGGTGTTTTAGTTTAGGTGAGGGCGATAGTAGCCAGCGCAAGTCATGTTACTGTCATGGAATCGCTGCCTCAGGTAATGGAGCACGAGCAGACACTCCCTACAAGTACGTATCTGTAATTGGGATAAGGTAATGTGCCTGTTACGCAGCATGTGCTTGTTATTCGGCTGTATGGTGAGTGCAGTTTGAAAGCTGCATCAGCTGCACGGAGACATAATGCCATGAACTCAGTCAACTAGTCAGAGTTAGCATACTACCTTTGGTACTACCTCTTGAAAGTGAATTCCTTTAACATAGCCACACTCTTTCAACAAACCAAACACCTACACCTGTTCAGTCATTCAGCGAAGAAATGCTTCAGCTTTCACTCTTACTTCAAACAGCGTTTTTCGTCATTAACTTGCCTCTTCTTAACCACAGTCTCCATTCTAGTACAAGAATGACGTTCAAGTAAATGACAAACTAACTAATCCCTTTTTTATCAGTTTGGTTAAAACCGTTTTATCATAGGAGTTGTGAAAGTAGAGTAATATGTTTGCTCTTTGTTAAAATATATAATCAGAAAGGCGAACTTGTTGGGCCTAAGGAAGTACATTTAAGTAAACTGGAGCATCATAAAAGTTTGGAGACTAGAAAAAAACCATAAAACCAAAATCTCGTTCTCAGAACGAGCTAGCTTTAGCTAGTCGTAGATATTAAATTCAAGGAACCCATCTTTATTAATATGTGTTTACTTAAGCCTCTCCAATAAAAGAACCATATTGACTTTTCCTAGATGATTAAACAGACACAATACTACAGCACTGATTTTTGCTACCATCTGACGCCACTGTATTTTGTATTCATAACGTCACTGACTTTTTATAGTTTATATAATAAAAATCTGTACGGAAATAATCCAAGCTTGAATCTGTTAGTTAATGAGAAGGCCGCGGGCCAGTTGAAATGTTAACGTCGGCCGGACTTTGAACATCCGTGCCATAGCAGCTTGGTCTGTGCCTCTCGTTGCATGTAGATGGTCGTACGATGGGTCTGGTTTATCACAAATATGCATGTTATTGGCAACTCTCTACTCCTATAGGGAAACTGCGCGCCGTTGTGTTGCCAAGCCAGTATTCGTCCCGCATAAATTATAAAAGCTAAGAAGAAACTCTAGCATGCTCGGTTCATTTCGAGCGGAACAGCTTCTGATTGAAATTCTGACGAAGGACAGTGACTAATTCGAAAACCACAAAGATTAAGGCATTTACACGTGAAGAAGTAATATCAGTGATTCGAAAATGTCAAGTGGGAAAAAGTTCACGCACACTGGCAGCACGCTTTCTAGTAGGACGGACACCACTCCTTCAAACTTTACAAAGGAAAGCCGTTGTTAAATGACTATGGCAACAACGCATCTAGACTTAAGAAAGGAACAGCAGGAAAACCGGAAATGAAGACATAAACACACTTTGTTGGATATGGTGCCAGTCTGCACTTGCAAGAAAATTCCCACTATCTGGACCAATTATTCAAGAACGAGCTTTGTACTTTGCGAAAGAATTTAATAACTCAAATTTAAGGCATCAAACGATTGGCTGCAGTGTTCCATTAATAGGCACAACCAG